TTGTAATTTTTTACACGCAAATACCCAGTTAGGGCCGTAGTCCAGGACCATCCGCCCAAAAATAACAACTTATAAAAAAATTCAAACTAAATAAACCCCCTTTAACCCCCGTTACACAGCCGAAACTAAGTATGTTGTATATAATAATTACGTCGCACTACCAATTGGAGTGACATCAGGCGTTCCCCAAGGATATAATTTAAGAACTCTCCTGTTCTTGCTCTTAATTGATGATTTATTAGACAGACTTAATTATAACAAACTTTGATTTGCCGACGATTTGTTTAATAAATAATTATTGTTATTATGATAAAAATTATAACAAAGTATGTGGAAATCAATGAATCGCAACTCATGTATCACACATGGATTTTAAAGCGCAGAGCCAATTATTACAGTCCTCGTTTTTTGAACAAATTACCTCGCAACGTAGTAAGGCTACCATCCAAAACTTTCAAAACTAAAATTAAGACATTTTTAAAAAAGCAAAGTTTTTACGACATTAAGGAATTCTTGAATTGCCAATGGTCCTCATCCGATTTCAATGTAAGTTAGTCATTAAATGTTTTTGTCCCTTGTTTTTTATCCTTATCAGAATTGACGTTTGTAAACAAAAAATTTTTGTGTTAACAACAATAAAGATGATTATTATTATTATTATTATTATCGGTGTTTCTTGTGAGAACTCAGGTCTAGCCTGGTTAACTAATCGCACGGATTAAAATCAAGTAACGATTAGTGTCTGTGTCTGGTGAAGTTATGTAGGGTCATTAAAAAAAAAAAAAAAAAAATCACACGTACATTGGACATCTAGGGATAATGTAATTCGTACTTACCAACATACCTATTGATGGGCACAATAGCCAACGCTATCAGGAAAGAGGAAAACAAAACAAAAAAAAATCATTATAATAATTCCTGTAATTTTATTAAATGGAGTTTATTGTGTAAGTGTTTCTTTGGCTTTGCGTTTGGGTTGAATACGAGTGGGTTGTGATAACGTGGTGTGTTTCTGTGAAGAAGGAGTTTTGTGTTTTTTAATTGTATTTATGGTGTTTCTTTGTTCCTGAGGTCGTGTTTGTGAGGTTGCTTGGGTTTTTGGTGGAGATATTGCAGTATTTTGTGAGCCTGTGGTGGTGTTAAGGTTTTTGCGTTTCGGTTGTATACGAGTGGGTTGTTTCTGAGAAGAAGGAGTATTGTGTTTTTTAACTGTGCTAGGGCGTGTAACTTTATTGGATGGACCTGTCTTTGTAGTACATGTTGCGTTACTTGTGTTTATGATGTTTCTTTGTTCTTGAGGTTGTATTTGTGAAGTTGCTTGGGTTTTTGGTGGAGATATTTTAGTATGTTGTGAGCCTGTAGTTCTGTATAGGTTTTTGCGTTTGGGTTGAATACGAGTGGGTTGTGATAACGTGGTGTGATTCGGTGAAGAAGGAGTTATGTGTTTTTTAACTGTGCTAGGGCGTGTAACTTTATTGGGTGGACCTGTCTTTGTAGTGCATGTTGTGTTACTTGTATTTATGATGTTTCTTTGTTCTTGAGGTTGTATTTGTGAAGTTGCTTGGGTTTTTGGTGGAGATATTTTAGTATGTTGTGAGCCTATAGTTCTGTTAAGGTTTTTGCGTTGCGGTTGAATACGAGTGGGTTGTGAAAATGTGGTGTGTTTCTGTGAAGAAGGAGTTATGTGTTTTTTAACTGTGCTAGGGCGTGTAATTTTATTGGGTGGACCTGTCTTTGTAGTGCATGTTGCGTTAGTTGTATTTATGGTGTTTCTTTGTTCTTGAGGTTGTATTTGAGAGTGAGCCTGTAGTTCTGTTAAGGTTTTTGCGTTTCGGTTGAATACGAGTGGGTTGTGAAAATGTGGTGTGTTTCTGTGAAGAAGGAGTTTTGTGTTTTTTTAAATGTGCTAGGGCGTGTAACTTTATTGGATGGACCTGTCTTTGTAGTGCATGTTGCGTTACTTGTATTTATGGTGTTTCTTTGTTCTTGAAGTTGTATTTCTGTTGTTGCATGGGTTATTGGTGGAGACATTACAGTATTTTGTGAGCCTGTAGTGCTGTTAAGGTTGTTGCATTTGGGTTGAGTACGAGTGGGTTGTGTTTGTGATAACGTGGTGTATTTCTGAGAAGAAAGAGTATTGTGTTTTTTAGCTGTGCTAGGCCGTGTGGGTGAGGGCGTCTTTGTAGTGCGTGTTGCGTTACTTGTATTTATTGCGTTTGTTTGTTCAGGAAGTTGTGTTTGTGTGGTTGGTTGAGTTAAGTTTGGAAATATTACAGTATGTTGTGTGTCATGTTGTGAGTCTAAAGTGCTGTTTAGGCTTTTGCGTTTGGGTTGAATACTAATGGGTTGTGATAATGTGGTTTGCTTCAGAGGTGAATCTCTGATTGTAGTATATGTTGTATCATTTGTTGTGCTTGTTTGTTCGGTAAGTTGTATTTGTGTGTTTGTTTGGGTTAGAGGTGGAGATATTACAGTATGTTGTGTACCGTGTTGTGAGCGAGTACTGTTGTTTACATGTATACGTTGTGGATCATTTCTGTGTGTAGTATCTTGTGTTATGTTTAGAAATTTACGAACAATATGGCATGTGTTGATAATGACTGCTTTTTGTAAATGTTTGTATGTGTTTTTGTCTAAACCTAATAGTTGTAAATTGTGGTGTATTGTCTTTGGTATAACTCCAGTAGCACTAAGAATAATGGGAACTATAACAGTAGATTTCATTCTCCATTGCGTCTTAAGCTCGATAGCTATATCGGTGTATTTGCGGTGTTTTTCTGCATGTGTTTTAGTTAAGTTGTTAGTGTTGGGGATGGCAATGTCTATAATACAAATGGATTTTTGTGTTTTATCTATAAGTGTAATGTCTGGTCTATTATTGTGGATAGTTTTGTCTGTGAGTAGTGTCCTGTCCCAATATAATTTGTGTGTGTTGTTTTCGAGTATGATCTGTGGCGTGTATTTGTAGTATGGTGTCGTATCTGTTATGAGATTGTGTTTAAGTGCTAATTTTTGATGTATGATTTTAGCTACCTGATCGTGTCGATGTTTGTATTCAGTTTGTGCAAGTCGTGTGCATGCCGATATTATATGTTGGATTGTTTCTGATGTTTGTGAACAAAGTCGACAAGAATCATTTGTCACTGTTTTATCTTTATGTATGTGTTTTTTATAGTTGCGTGTGTTAATGACCTGGTCTTGTATTGCTAACATGAAACCCTCAGTCTCCGGGAAGACATCACATTCAGACAACCAACTGTGCGTTGCTATAGAGTCAACACAATCCTGGCCAACCTCTTGTGGAAATCGTCCATGTAAAGGCTTTTGGTTCCATGTCTGTATGTTATTTGTGATGTATGTAAGTTTGGATGTGGGTGGGAGTACATTAGTTTCGTGTAGGTTAAGTGGTGTGTAAGATTTGTCTGCATATGTTACTGTTTTGTGTAAGACTGAAGTATCTGATTTGTTATAAAAGTATTGTCGTATCTGATTTGTTATAAAAGTATTGTCGTAAATGGTGTATTTGTGTTTGGTGTAATAGTTTTATATCTGTAAGTCCTCTACCTCCTTCCGAACGAGGAAGGTAAAGTCGTATAGTGGAGGAGTGAGGGGGATGTATATGGTGTTTTGTTAATAGTGTACGTGTGTTTCTCTGTATTTGTTCTAAATCTGTATTTGTCCAACGTATAATCCCAAAAGAGTATGTAAGCACTGGTATGGCATAAGTGTTAATAGCTTTGATTGTATTTCTACCGTGTAATTTTGTTTTAAGTATACTGCGTACTCTTTGTAGGTATTGTGTGATAAGTGTTTGTTTTATACTCGTATGTTTAATGTGTGTGTTTTGCTGAAAACCAAGATACTTATAAGTTTCATTCTCGTCCATGGAATTTATTAAATTACCCTGTTCGAGCTCATAATCTAAAAGTTGTCTTTTACCAGCTGTGATGTGTTGTGTTTTACATTTATCAATTCCAAAGTCCATTTGTATGTCACGTGAGAATGTTTCGGTAATGTGTAGAAGGTGATTAAGTTTTATGCTTGTGGAAGAGTATAATTTAAGATCGTCCATGTAAAACAGGTGTGTAATGTTGTGATGTATTTCGTGGTTGTGCTTAATATTGTACCCAAAGTTAGTAGTGTTTAACAAATATGAAAGTGGATTAAGAGCAAGACAAAACCAAAGCGGACTTAAAGCCAAAGCAAAGCAAATTATTATTATTATTATTATTATTATTATTATTATTATTATTATTATTATTTTTATTATTATTATTATTATTACAAGCACGGGGAGAACTATTAAATCAACATTGGAAGTTTCAACTGGATAAAACATTGTAAGTATTTATGTATTTAAAAACACTAATTACTACGCGATTTCTAACGTTCACATATTTTCAAATACGCTTAAACTTTTTGTTCGTTAGGTAAATAGACCCTTCTCGGTGGAACGCCGAAATGATATTAAATACTACGGAATTATCTCGTGGTTTCCTCGATATTTCGGTTCAAATCCCCAATAGGCAAAACAAATTCAAACAAGCACTCTCCTAGAAAAACAAATTCGAAAGTAGGCCGCTAAACTCTGCGGATATGAAAACTGAATTCGCTTTCTTGACCAAAAGGATGTTATTTTGCACGCTAGCTAAGTCAGATATAAAATTTGCAAGCGAGCACCGATAAAAAATCAAAATTCCGTGACGGAAAACAAACTCCGCTTTAATTTTATGTGTGTTTATTTTTGAGATTTCGAAGGCACATAATTAGAAAAACCGAAAGGGATAATGGAATACCACGATGGCGGAGAGGAGTGTAGCTGCACCACTCTATGATTACCTACACAATTTAGTGGAGTAGAGGTGTAATTGGGCGTAAAACCTTGCATCAGCTGCTTCAAGCGTGTTTGTTTGGCAAACATGCCAATCAAATGAATGAGAAAGTTAATTTATCCGCCGCCACAAAGAAAATATCCACCCTTCCTACCGTTTTAATGAACAATTTTGGTACAAAACTCACTTACCCAACCAACTTAAGCTCTCCGTTGTTTCCAACTTCTGTCTAAATGCATCCACTTGCATTTGCAATTGCTGTACCGCTGGCGGTAGCGGTAAATCTGATTTAAGTTGTCGCTCCAATTCGGATATTCTGGTTTCTAGCGCTTTCATTTCGTCGCCCGTACTCTTATGGAGCATAGCAAATCCGTTCGCCGCTACAACTTGTAGCGAGTAGGGGTTTTCTGGCGAGTTTGGAAGTAACTCGGGACTTATATTCAGTAACTGTCCGGCTGTATTGTACAATTTCAGAATGTCACGAGGACCCGCTTCAGCTGCCGTACGGAACAATTCTGAAACAAAACAAATTATTCGAAACTTTTAGTGAAATACATGCGAAAACATTGAATAGCGCAACCAACTAGAAAGTTATCACCGTAAGGGGTAAAGAATTAGTTGTACACAAAGACGCGTATTTTATTCTATCAATTTTAATGAATTTCAAATTTTTGGACAATTGAATATACAGGCAATTTCAAAACACACCACCACCTTTTCCTTTAACTAACAACTTGACTTCAAAGTCAGTTTTTCTCTTCGTTAGTTAGAGGTTACAGATTAGACGTTGATACAATTTAGGTTAGATCGCGTATAGTTAGCTAGGGTGGAATTTTTCCACATGTGTACCTAGCATTTTATATTTTAGTCCAGAAATTACCTTTAAATTCAATTACGATTTTTGTTGTCGGCTTGCGCGATGAGTTGAGTATTTGATTACTTTATATATGTAAAATTTCTTTTTATTGGCATAATCATTTATTAATGTTCCATTATTTTGTGCGTAATTGGTTTTTGAACTAAATAAAAGGGGAAATCCTTTACGTCTCCTTAGTATGGTTGCCACTAATGCGATTTCAGAACTAACAGGGCACGCGTACAAGAATCATTATTATTATGAGACATGTTCTAGTAAAAGACAGACGCCTGATATCAAACCACAAACACCAATGCAAATATGTTATATTGTGTATATTCTTCGCCCGTGGGACCATGGCATCAATTTCGAGTTCTGTTATAACAGCGGTAGTAAATACATTCATTTTAATCAATCATGATTATGAGGGAAATGAAAGTGCCGATGTTGTCGTACAGGTTGATGGCTATTATAATATGTTTGCTTGGAAAAGAAGCAAGAAAGAAAATGACACATTTCCTGGAAGGTCTTTCTCTTTGTAGTCAATGAAGACCCTACAGGTACTCTCGATTGTGAGAGGGGAAATTTGATTTGCTTGTTTTATGATTTGATTAAATTTCACTTCCCCCCACTTCTTGCTTTTATTTATGTTGGTTTGACGCACATCCTCGAGCACTTCGTTTTACAACACAAGGTAAGTCCTATCACCTGACAGGATTGTTACTTGACGAATGACCGAATAATTGAGGTTTTTCAAATAAAGTTTTTATTTATTTGTGATTTATTACCCCTCTCTTGTTCTGGGCCCTCAACAGGCTTGCCCCCAATTGCAAACTGACCCGCATAATGTTTAGAAGTTTCTTGTACTTTGAAAATTCTGCGTACCTATTCTCATGCCCTCATTTAATATTTTTCAGTTCGGGAAACAAATAATTAAATAAATTATAAATTGGCATTTTCGTAAAATTTTTGTATAATAATTTCACGGTATAAGTGATTGCTAATTTATAAATTCCTTAATTTCTCCGATTTCCCACAACAAAAAAAATACAAATGGACACGTGAATATAAGCAGAATTTTACAATCTAAAAAAATTTTATTTAAAACTTTGCTGTAAAATAATTAAAATTAATTAGGGGGTCGGTTGACAATAAAGACATTTATTATTATTATTATTATTAAATTACCATTGAAATAGCTATGGCCAATTCTGCATCCTGTATGTATATTTAGACAGCGCGTAGCGCGTTTATTATAAAATACAGAAAAAATCTTTAAATACAAAGATTCTGGTCTTAATCATAAATCGCCAGAAAATGTAAAGTAAAAAAGAATTGTTGTTGAAATATTTTAATTTTTAAGTGCAAATCCGGGGGATTATTTACGAATAAACACAAAGGTGGTTTATTCTACTTGAATTTGTATCTCAGTGTTTATGTTTCCTTTTAGAAATTTGTTAGATGCGTAATTTTTCGTTTTAAATTCAATTTAGATAAGGTGTTAGAAGTAAGGTTACATCCGGCCGTTTGCGATAAGAAGTTGTATTGTTAGACGAAAATTAATTAACTCACGTGTTCTTTCGCTGATAAAGAATGCAGATGTTTTAAAGTATTGCGCGTTTCTTGTGGAGCAGTGGGGACGTTTGGCTCGTTCCGTCGTGATTGGCGATTTATTTGAAAATTCATAGAAAAGGAGATTATTTTATTGTGGAAGTGGTGTTTCCTTAAATAGTGGAGTCAACTAGAAAACGAAGCTACTGGTTTCGAGACAGTTAAAAAGCGCGTACATTTTTTACACTAAATTTTGGGTATCCAGTCCCTATTTGTATAGTTGTAGATGTAGTTCGTCATTTTTATAATAAATTTGTAAAGAAGCAAGTGGCGTAAGAACTTTAACCGTGTGTTTTCCAATTGCGGAGTTGAAAAAGCAAGCAGTTGTAGTGCCTTTCGTTAAGCTTTTTTTTTATTAGAAATTAAAAGTTTTTTTGCTTCCCATCCGAACAGCTACCAAAAATTCAACAAGCCAGATTTTGCCAGCAAGTACAGTGTTATCAAGAACAAGTGACGTTTCCTGAAGCTGTCAGCGGGTGTTAGTGTGTCAGTTTAGTACGCCTGAATGTCGCAAATGTATTACGAGCAGATGGACTGGATCAATTAATAACTGTAAGTAACATTTTTATTTAATTGTTGAACGCCTGCGTGCGCGTTATGTGCAAAAAAAAACAAGCTATGAATGCGATTATCTTTCCTAGAAGCATCTGTTATTAAAATTTCTCTATAAATAAGAAATAAAGTTTGGCAGTTGCGCAGTTTGCGCATGCGCACATCTGATGTTTACAATATGCGATATGCTTATCTTTACTAGAGTTTAAAATTTCAAAAAAATATCTCTATAAATAGGAAAATTGACACTGCTGCAAACGATAAATTCGTATTTAAACCATCCACCTGCCATATTTGAACGGGTGAAATACACTTGCTAAGGCTTAACAACATCACTTTACCTATTGCTATGGTCAAGCAATTGAATTGTTAAAATTTTACGCAACATTGCTAAGTTTGTCAGTACAGAATACCACTTTTAACAAATATTGCTCATCTAGCAATTACCTTCACTATTAGCAAGTTGCTAAGGTTATTTTAAGTTACAGAATTGGGCTGAATAGTTCATATTTAAGTAAATTAGAGACAATAAGATCAGTACTAAATTGTGTCTTCAACTCCAGAAACTCTCCGGCAGCCCTCGTTAGTAAGATACGGATCAAAAATAAGTGAAAACAAACTAAATCCAAATCTCTTTCTCTAACACTAATCCCAAATTTTCTGCTGCAGCACGACTTTGCACTTCAAAGTTTTTCGCTTTATACGCTTATGTTAACGCGTCCCTTTTACATAAGTAAATGTGATTGATTCTAAACCAGTTTGTTGGTTTTATTTAGAGAATGATGCTAAATCCAGCATCGTCTTGGCTTTTGTTTGAAATTGTATTCGATTCGTCCAAGTAAACGAACCGAGGATATTTTGTTCAAAGCCAGTTGTCCTAAAAATGTTTGAATACAAATGGAATTGATACACCAATAGAAATTTTAAACCAATCCAGGGGAATTGGCTTATTCTGTTACATAAATCGTGAGAAAGGCCATTTTTCAGAAAAAAAATATGCCAGCCTCAATTTCAATTTTTAGTGGGTCCTTTTAGGAAAAATCACGATCAGTTTATACCTCGAGACCGCCCAGCGACATAAATTTCCGATTATCAAATTGTATTTTGCAGTAGTACGATGTTAAATGGTGAAAACCATAATAGGAATAGACATCACTGTACATTAATAAAACCCCAATTTGTGAAATCAACCGTAAACAAAGCTCGACGCTTTTCATTACGTTTCGAACTTGTTAAAAGCACTCAGTCAACCGCACAAACCCCGGATCACGTTGACACCGTTTCCTTTTATAATCGATATAAGGGAAGCCGCGATGTCAATTGTTGTCGTTCGCTGCTGTTTTACCAAGTTTAATGGTAATGTAAAATTATGTTATTTTTTCGGCCAAGTGAAATTTGCCACTACGAAATGCGAACGTCACGTTTGCGTGTGTCTTCCAAATTGACCTCTAAAAAGTTGGGTAGTTCCTGCTATTTTTCAATTACGCAATACGTGTCAGACGGAGAAATTATAAGCAAAAGCACAGATTGCAACGCATTCTTTCAAATTGCAGTTCTAACATGAAACGGGCACTAAGTGGTATAATCATACCTGATATGCAAAGTTCCTACAGGCAAAATGAAACTTGACACAGAAAGGAAGTAGGCCATGACTTCAAAAGCCATTGAGACTGCTGCTGAAATATGTGCGATATTTTCAGCACATTAACAAAATGTTCCTTAGATCTATGTTTTTGAAAAACCTATAGCTCTTGAAGGATTGAGTCGAAATTTGATAACTAATAATTATTTCAATGTATAGTGTATTCGTTAATTTTTCTCATGCTAATGTTATCCCAAAATCAAAATTGGTCGCGTATTGTTCCTGACATCGAATCGCTATAGTTCAAACGTTCTCTGAGTTTTCATGACACCATCGCTTGTTTCCCATTATACATTGTTTGAAAGGAATTTAGAATGTTCGGGAAAACTTCACATTTTCCAGAACTCTACTTGGATACGTAGTTAGTTCGCACGTAATTTTCGATTAAACGGTGTTAAATTTGTAGGGGATTAGGGTAATTGAAAATTCACGTTAAAAACCCCAAAGGATGGACATCATAAAACTGTCTCTTGAAATAGCTACTAACTACCTAATTCAAACCTTGTATCATTTCAGGGTGGGCAAATCCGTGAACATTTTCTCTAAATGTATAATTCTTACGTTTACTTTGAGCAAAAGTAACAAAATTACCTTGAGATAAGCACACGGTAAGCTTAGGCAAAGTCTAGGTTTGTCGGGGTGAATATTGGGGTTCGTGTACAATATAGCAAAAATATATAAAAAGGGCGTGTTCAGCCCTATCTGTAACAGATAACAACACCACACACATATAAAATCGATAGTGAATCGCACAGCTCATAAAATATTGCGTAAGCAATGCTAACCTCTGACACTGAGGCAATCGGATATTAAACTGTACTTAATAATGAATAAGAATCAATAATGCGCAAAATTTTGATAGACCACATCTGTCTAAAAGCCTAAACGCGATGTTAACTTCAAGAAAAGTACTTTACGATGCGCAAATAATTAATTTTCTATATGACAGCAATGCAATCTAATTAATTCAAATGTAAATCAGATAGCACGAACAAATTCTTCAGGGTAAACATTGTATATATCGCTTCGGGTAAAGTCTCGGTAACTTCAAAAACTAATTTACAAAGCAATGGTTGCAGCTAATCTGAAGGATACAATGTAATCCAACAAATAGAAATTAATTTTCGGTGTAAGAAAAGTGAGCGTCCACAAAATCGCTTCACGATATCGGTAAGGTCAAATCTTCGTTAATAATTTACAAGTGTAAGGTTCTCCAAACGGTTTTGTTAATACTTGCGGTTACAATTCAGGAACAATTATCGAAGCGTAGGTAAACAAAATCCGTGTAAGTAGGTAATGTTGGTGTCACGTGATTAATTTCACTGGGATCTGCCGGTAAGGTAGAAACTCATCTATAGCGTACGTTAGTACTACACTGTCAATCTACCTAAAATGGTGGGTCCAAGCAAAATGCAATCTCCTCGACGTACTGTGTAGGTAGTAGACAATATCCAGGTAAATCAAAACGTAAAAGATAATCTAAAAAAAAGAACGATGTGAACTTAGAAGAAAACTATTTTTTGGAAAGTGTGAGGGAAGGTAAAACCCTAAATAAATGTATTAAGAAAAATCCTTGTAAATCAACAGCCATAAAGAGAAAGAGAGACCAATCCAAAGATATGTGGTGACAGCCAAAACCAAATCCCTTCCAAGAGAAAAATTAGCACGCAAGCAATGCGACAGCACAAAATTCACTGACAGCAAAAATACAACTCATGGACAAGGTAAAATATAGGAAGAAAGGATAGAATTAAGTGCGGAAAGGTATAAAGCGTGAACTGTAGTAACAAAACAAAGAAGTAACTTAAAGAAACCTCGAACGGCGTATAGCGGCAAACTAAAGAACTGTTGGTAATAAGAACTCTATAACACTTAGATCAAATTTACTACAAGAACAACTTACATGTTAAACTAGTGCATTGCAAAAGAAATACTTAGATAGCGTAAAAATACTGAATTTAAGTAAAACGAGGGTAAGAATCTAGATAACGGAACAAATCGAAAGTTACTTAGATCAGTTAATGATTAAAGATGGCCCTATATGACTAGAAATAGTTATTTATGCAATGAGTGTATAAATGAAGCGTTTTATTGGTGAGTGAGATGTTTAGTCCACGAGCGCAGCGAGTGGACTAAATTCGAACGAACCAATAATCGCCGATTTATACATGAATTGCATACAACGTTTTTTCGTCGACTTCACTGGGGTAGGTAATTTTAATTTCAACTACAAGAAATTACAAACGAAATTATGAGCTCGTACGATTGTTCACTAAATTACAGCTATTGTCGTTGCTATAGTAATGTGTTGTTTTATGCTGTACCGTCAGTACTCGTAATCATAGTGGAAGATTATGTTGCTTGCTCTGCTGCGGAGGCGATTTTAACATTATATCCACTAAAATCAAAAGAAACTTATTGGAACGGTTTCGATCAGTTCGGCAATTGATGAATACAATGAATTTGTAAGGAGATATTTCCGAAAATGTCACGTTGACATTTTACCTTGAAAAGGTATGTGAAATTAGAATGTAATTAATTCTTTTGCAACTGTACTAAAGTACGTGTATTAACAGTGAAAGATATGGAAATGTTCATCCCTGTGGTCGACGTACTCAATGTTGAAGGTAAACTAACTGAATACCTTAACAGTACCTTATCCGAGGAGCTACACATACATCCATCAGGACAGGATATGCTTTGCTGAGATCGTTTGGCGACCATACTGGCTGCTGATCTCACTACATTAAAACCGAGATTAAAATGGTTAGGTGGATGGAAGTTCTCAGCTGTTGCCGAAAGTGAATTGTTACATAATTGTCATTTCCCTTTAATAAAATGGTTGTTATGTATAAGTGGTTGCTAACGATTAATGGTTGCTAACGTATAATGGTTGGTTGCTAACCATTAATGGTTGCTAACGATTAATAAGCTTCATCATTGTACTCGTCACTAAGGAGTAATTTATATTGTTATCGAGAGGTCGACGAAAAACAATTAAATACTGTCATTTTGGGTTGATTTTATATTAATGTATAGTAATAGTTCTGACGCCGCCTAAGCTTAACTTTTGTTTGAAAAGCGATTTAAAAAAACTGTTCGACAATTTTATTCCTTAACTCATCAAGCATGTACACAACAAATTTCGTGGCATTTTCGTTGTCAGGCCAAGAATTGTAGTGGACTTTTTAAAAACTAATTTCAGGTTCCCAAACATGCAATAAAATGAAGCGCGTTAAGATAAGGAACAAGTGTTCAAGCAAATAAGAGTCGAAACTTTATAGTGGTCTCGCTTCTCAAAACCGTTGCAACAGAGAATGAGAGGAGTATTTTGTAGCTATACCTCTGCGTGTATAAAAAACAGAGTGAGCGCTTCGGTTGCGGTTCCGTTTTTGGGATTCTGCGAGCACTTAAGTAAAAATCGGGTGGGAAATCAGAATTCTTACTACAATTTTCGAAGAGAACCTATGCAGGTTAAGCGCTGTACTTTTATATCGCGTAAAATGAAATTTACCAAGTCTGCCAAATTTTCAATTTTGAGTTGCGTACGCCATTTTTTGAGATCGCGTAAAAATTTCATTGTTAATTAAGTTCGAATTAAAAGACGTATAACTGCCGTATATGAAACAATCTTTAGCTGCGCAACTGAGAATTTGTGCCACCATTTTCGAAGAATTTATTGTGGTGCGTACTTTATATATTCAATGGTACTGCCCTTTCGAACAAAACCAATATTAACAACCGTTTTTATGCAACAAAGGAACTTTGTCGTGTACCGAATAGCAATGGACGGCTGATATATTTTTCAACCGTGAACCATGCGAATAAGTTACTTTTTTAATCGGTACGTGAATATTTGCGGGCCATTGCACCATCGGATTAAGGTGCTCGTATTCAAATAAATTGTTACCACGAAGGCGTTGGAGTCCAAGGTGAAAACATTTCGTTTCGCTTATTTATACGAGGTGCTAATAAAATTGTAAGTAAAAAGGCAACCGGTAAAAATGTTAAAGACAATTTGTGCTTTCTTTTGCTGCAAACCCTAAGTTAATTTTGAACATTTCCATGCTGTGGGGCATTGGTAATTTTTCTCACGCTTGTGCCAATTTCAGATTCGTCAACCATCTTTCCACATTCACTTTCAACCAAATAAAGGCGGTCCACCATCCAATTTTATAAACTGATGCTGCCAAGTAATAAGCTTTCCGTGGGAGAGTCAACCGTTTTTGGGGGTTTTTGTATAAGAAAATTGCACTTAAAATCATTCTCATGTTCCTAAAGACGCCGATTTATGGGAATTTAATCATCAATTACTGTAAAATGATTCGAAAGGTATTTGTAGAGCTCTGATTTCATTCTCATATAGGAATTGCTTATCATAGGGTTCGATGTACGAAAATGACCTAACTAAACCGCTTGGGATTCGAATTATATTACTCAGGATCGGATCTGCGATTTGAATCGGTTAATTAAAGAATGGTTTCAGCTCTGAAGAAGTAATAACCGTCTTGCTGTTTCACTTTTTGTTATGTTGAAATTCAATTTTTGGCAATAGATCGAGCTTTAGTTGATGTTCTTATTGTACGCGTTTACCAAAAGATAATAAAAGGGACTTTTTGTTTTTGTTTTGTTGTTCATATAGAAAAATTAATGTCTTCCGGGAAAGTACCTACCTACAAGTCGTGCTTAAAGGTAAAAATAGATTTCCCCGAACGCCAATTCACCACAAAAGTCATGTAGCTAATTTATAAGAGGACAAGATGAATTTATCACTTTGATCTTTTTACACTGGACACGCAATGTCTTCGTGTCCAAGGTAGGTCGTACCTACATATTTAAAAAGATGGGGAAGATCGAAAAGAATTGAATATAAAAGTCTAGATATATATATTCGTATTAAGACAAAAGAAAACTTTCATCAAAAGCGAAATACTGATGGCATTAGTGAATGGCGGTTCTATTCACGCGAATTGGTCAACTTCAATATTACGGACAAAGGAAAGAATTGGAGCCCGAATTCCGTTATTGAACTTTCAAGACTTGTAAGGCATTCACGGGTCAATCAAATATTAAAGTTCCATCGAGGAAAGGAAAACTTCAACACATTTTTCATCTAAAAATTGCTCGTCTTATTACGGCATGATACAAAAGGTACCTACTCGCTGGGTGAAATTATTACAAAAATCCATGGTTCATTATACGCATCCGCGAATACGTACAAGAAAAGGTAGACGTTAATAACCGAAGCCCTACGTTTAAATGATTAAATATAGACCCCCGGGTTGACACGTCTACCGTATCATTAATGCTAAATATTCGTTAGTGATACAGAGGAGTTAAAGGAGTAATTGCTTTTATTCGCGTTTAGCCTTCATTGTGCCAGATTGATACAAACGAATCGATATACTTACAGCGTTCAAAGAGGCGAAGCGTCTTTTTTTCTGACATTTGGGTAATTACGTGAGTACATATCGTTTGTGGTATTTCCTTGCGCGACATTGCCCATATTTTTCATTATAAGACATCCCCATCCATTTTTTAATTGTTTTTTTTAATTGTTCAACATGCCTCGTGTCATTACAGACCAGCGTTTATCAATATATTCATCATGCGACAATGTTTCTTGTAAAAAACACTAAACATTAAACATACTGGTTTCCCCTCTAACGTTTGGGTATTATCCAAAGCTTTTAAGGAAATCCCTATAGGGTCTAGTCTAGACTAACATCTTACCAACTGTAAACTTTAGCGTAAGAAACGGTGAAGAGCCTCCCTTCTGCTAATTCGTATTTGCAAGCTCCATTACCAACCTTTACTTTTTTTTTCATTACAAATGAACGGGTAAGCTTACCTTTCAGTTGCTCCACAGGGGTATTTGAAAGAAAAAGGGCGGTTTCGTGGCGCTGCCCCACGCAAAAAAAGACTTGCACTAACGTGGGGGGGTCCATGGGCATCCTAGAGAACTCATCGTCTAAGCGCCCTCGTTCGGCGTCGCGCTTCCCCTTCTGCACGCCGCTGCCATTTTGGCACTCTGAAATGAAAGAAAAGGTCATTACTTTATGCTGTCTTGTTTCACAATTACCGTCATTTTGTGACATGGCTTGCACACTGGCATTTGACAGTGACAATAGCTTACCGGCGGTTCGCAAACGTCAAACAATTTTGCGCCTCCCCTCTGCCGTTGAGCAAAGAGTTAATTCACAGCAATGGTAGACAAGAAACCTTCAATGTAGTGATTTATTGGATAATATTTTTGTACACCGTAAATATCTAAGGTAAATTTTTTCCATTTTGGTTAAGGCCGTAACCCTCTTTGTATCAATAAAAGTTGATTGCACTCTACTGCTACTACAGATATGGGTAAAAATTTAGTTATCATAGATAATTTTGGGTTTTTACGTGTGTTTAAGAATCTAGGCAATTTTGAGTTTCTTGTTAGTGTAGGCAACCTGAGTGGTTATTTGTAAAATAAAAATTTTAGAATGTGATTGTCAAAATAAAGAAATTAAATCTTGTGTTTAAATCTGGTAATTGTGGCCTTCTGAAGTATCTTCCACTGAGGAATAAAGTGTTGACAGTTCCATTTATTTTGATAGGTACCACATTTTTGGTCTTTTGCGGAGTCATACTGGGCATCCAGAATGAAACTATTCACAAAAAATCTTGGACACATAAATATCTACAACTAAAAGCTACAAGTAATTACACATTAGGTGTAACGTACACCCAATAAAAAATCATAACATATGGAAATTAAGTTATGAAAACTAATTATAAATAAACAAATTTCAATCAATAGATTGCTTTCGGGTCGTACAATTGCTTAGAATTATTATTTCGATTGATTTGATTTGATTACGTAAAGAAGGAGTTTATTTTGTGGTAGAAATGGTGTTTGCTTAAATACTGGGGACAACGAGAAAACGCGGCTGCTGGTTTCGCGACGATTAAGGAGCGTGTACATCTTTCTAAGCTAAATTACGGCAGTCGGTTCTATTTGTGTTGTGTAAGGCGAAGTGTGTCTTTGTTATAAAAAATCTGTGCAGAAGCTAACTTTGTTGTTCGATTACGGAAAAAGTTTCGTCGAGTTCAAAAAGGAAACAAATTGTACAGTGATCCCTTTTATTAAGGTTCTCTTCTTATTAAAAGTTAAAAGTTTCTACCGTCTGAACAGCCACCGAAAATTTGTCCTTTTACTCACCAAACCAGTTTCGTTCGCCATCTAATTCTGTTATAAAACAAAGTGGCGTTCAGAAACTGTCAGAGTTTGTGTTTGAGTTAAGCATGCCTTGTATCGCAAAACCTTGTACGACCAGATTATTTGGATTATTAAACAAATAATTTTAAGATTTCATATTTGAATTGCCAACCGACTGCGCACGTCGTAATACGAGTCGTAATATGTCCAAACAAGCTTTGTAAAATTTCTTTCTTTCAGGGGTTGTGTTTAAACCAGGGTTTAAATTTTTTGTTCATTATGTTTCGGAATGAATGTTTGTCATTATCAATCAATTAATTGTGTGTTTACTCGAATTCAAACTGCAACCCAGATAGGATTAATGTCAGATTTTTTTTATTCGTGACCAGGAGTTATTTCAGGTGGTAACCAAAACTTGTGTAACAAATTCTTTAGAATTTTCTGGAGATGATCGAGGCCAACGTGTTATCGTCGATAAGAAAACATAGGTTTAATTTGAACACGCAAATTCAAGTAGAGAAGAGGCGGAATGTTAAAAAAAAGGAAAATTGTTTTTAAATAGAAGAAACAAACATTATTCGAGACATGATTGTTTGTTTGTTGGTAGACGTTATTCGTGGCTCTTCGGTTTGGTGGACGTTTGAAGCGTAGCCGCTTATTGTTTTGTGTCTGTTTGGCACTTTTTCCTTTATCGAAATTTTTTGAAACGACAGTCGGTCAAATTGTCAACCTCAGGCTAGTTATGCTTTTTAATACCACTGTGTATTGATCACATGACAATTGGCTTTAAAGAGCAACATATTATCGATTATGCAGGTCCCATACGAAACCGACATTTCTTAGTAGTTAGTAGACGCAAAATCAAAACGAGCAGAAGTGTGTTACATGAACATCCAAATAGTCAAATTCAAAAATTTTAATAATTCCAGAAATCCGGATGATATCGAGGCACCAGGAAAGATTAGTCATGAGCGATAAAGAACGAGTGCGGATGTTATCACATGACGCAATCTTTCCGATAAATATGACGTGCTTATTCAAGAACATTCTAGAAGATTCGAAAGCGTTCGGTAGAGCTCGAGACCGGCTCGAGACCACTCGTATCGAGTAATAGCTTGTTTTAAAGGTCTTTCGCAGTCCTTTATTTTGAAGTTTGATTCTTTTTAAAACTGTCGATTCGTTTTCGAGAAAATTAGAAAAACCTTTAGCCTCATATAAGCCGTACCTGAAAAAGGAGTCTTCCCAAATAGCACAGAGTCAGATTATTTCAATTTTAGGGGGATTTGCATCTTCTGTGGAGATTGGTAGGATCTTGATGCAAAAAATCCATGTCGCTATAACCATTACTTTCTTGTTAGGTCAGTAGAGTTTAAGACACGAATTTTTAGACGAATGCAATATCTGAGAGATACGAAACATGGGTTGAAGAGGTACGGTTAAGGGTTTTGGGAGCTTCGATAAGTGATTTACATACGGTACCACTGGAAATCCGGCAAATTATCTACGAGTGACTGTAACATTAAGGCAGCTAAAAGTTACATATCTTCCGATGATTGCTTTTAATGAAGTCGCACAAGAAATAACTAAACACTGCCCAAACATGGAAGAGAGTTGAACTACCCAGTTTACAATTGAGTTTCGACGAAAGTACCTACTCGTTCAAGGAAGACATTTGCTCAAAAATTGGAAGATTATTTCGGAACGGAGTTAATTCTTGAATGCAATCAAACATTTTTACATCTGCTAGTGAATGAAAGATACTTATCCAATCTAGCAGCACGATAGGTAGCAGCATAGTGTAACACTAAGGTAGTCGGTATTGTGGCAAGTTGCTTAAAAAAGTTCAGCTTCAAGTTATATTCTCCAACTTACTTAAGAAAAAGTCACTCTTACATTAACTTTTCATCAAAAATTACATTTTTATCTGATTCCTTGACCTAAAAAGCATAAAAAATGATATGCCATATGACAATATCGCGTCGAAATAAAATTTTCAATTTTTTGGGGGCCACTTTAGACGCCATCTTGAATTCCTCATATTACTCAAACCTGACAGAGTGGTATCTATCGGATAAAAAATCTACATTTTATTCATACCTCAAAACAAGGTTACCCCATTATTGGGCATTTGGCACCCCGACTATTCATGTTTCTTTGAGATTCGGAAACAAAAGTAGTCACGGATGTCCAGTTTCTTCAAAGACACATTCAGCTACAGCAGCCTTTGAAAGTCTAGACTTGTGCACTGGTGCATTTCCATGGAGCAACAAAACACTTCGCATCAGTTTTCCGAGTCTCTTCACTTTAATAGCATCCCTAAGGCGATTCATCAGGTTTGCACAGTAATTGCCCGTTACAGTACTACCCTTATTCACATAATCAATCAGAAAAATGATTTCCATTATTTTTCCCGTGGAAAGAGTGACTTTGATGGAGCCCTTCACATGCCATTGCATCGATTCTTGTTTCAATTCAGGATCATAATGATGAACCCAGGTTTAATCTCCAGTGACAAGGCGATTGATAATTAAATCTGATTCATCTCCATAGCACGCCAAGAATTATTCCAAGGTCTCTACGCGGACACGTATTTGGAATGGCGAAAGCATTCACGAACCCATCTTGCACTAACCTCTGTCATTACAAGGCACTCGTGTAAAATTTTTGAAAACTGTGGTTTTTTAAACTGAAGCTGTTAATTAGCGCTTCTTTAGTTTTGCATCCTCCAGTGTCAAACACTTGGTTTTCTCAACATCTGTCTCACGCCAACAAGGCGTCCTAGACAGGGATCATCACCATCAAATACCTACTAGTATTCCAGATGTTCCAGGTATACGTCGTTTGGAAACAGAAATTAAACCGCCACGGAAATTCAGTGATTATATGTGACATTAATCAACTTTTAAAAAGTAGGAGAGACTAGTTTGAATTTAGAAAAAATGTGGATTCCTATGTTCTTATGTTTATGTTGACATTCTTAATAAATTGGTGATGCTAATTGGGAACGTTTATCGTATGTCACGATCTCTACTTCGACATCTTGGCCCGTATGAATAAAAGTAAGCAAATGCTTATACTTGCAAAAGTCAAAGTAAATACTCGTAAGTGCTCCTTCGCACTGGGCGACTTAGCAGCGCTGCTAAGCAGAAGGACAGGACGCAGTACAGCGCTGCTAAACAGACCAGTATGAAGGGGCACTTACGAGTATTTACTTTGAATTTTGCAAGTATAAGCATTTGCTTACTTTTATTCATACGGGCCATTATGTAGCGCTACTAAAAATGGTAGACTGCTCCGTAAAGAGCATCAAAGTACCGTAATTATAGGACGTATCGGTAACTGTTCCACAACAGTTGTGTCTTATGAACGCGCCCATTGCTAAATGTCTATAATTACTCCTGTCATCACTGATAGATTGACATTAATCAAAAATTCTAAATAAAAATTGAAATTTTACATTATTAAATACGATTTCGGATAAAATTTAATACAAAACTCGTCAGTAAAATGACATTACCTGACTCGGAAATTAAAGTACTCGGCCCCAAAGGGGCCTCGTACTTCACTATTTCCTCGTAATGTGCCATATTCCTTACTTTTATGTAAATAACTAATGTTTGGCGCAAATATACTGTCGTGGGAGTACCTATGTATACGTACACCATTTACACTTTGATTTTAACCATTAGAATTTGATTAAAGGCGCAACAGTAGCATCACACATTATTATTCCATGCGCAAATACCACATTAACCATTTAAAACTAAAACTATGTCAATGGGAATGACCAACGTGAACGTGTTAATAGTAGACCGATAATCTCATTTTAAAGATTAATTAAAAGTACCGCAAGTACATAGATATCGATAAAGAATGTTTATTCATTTCAGATATTATGGTTTACTAAAATGACCTGGGAAATTACTTACACCTAACTTTCAATATCCGTTTCTCTTCGTACCTAATTCCAAAACCCCAAGCTAATTAACATCTTCGTCCACAGACTCACGCCACATTTCACTGAATCACTACTGTTAATAAAACGTTATATCAAGAGTACTACAAATACTATCATTTTAATAACATATTTGACTGATTGCCGTATATAAAACGTAATTAATCGCCACCATAAATAAACAAATAGCTTATCTTATTCGGAATGCGTCGTTGATAATCAAATTATGATATCTTCCACTGAAATGAGATCATACTGCGAATATTACGGGCTCATGCTTCTGTAAAAATTAGGGCATTATTCTCGTGCGATTCTGACACGAGTAATTCGAAAAGTTCGATTAATACTGAGATTGCGATTATCGAATTTTCCTCATCACGGATGATGTAATGGAAAAATTCAAGCTAATTATTAACGCACAGCTTGCGAGCTTTTCACGTCTTCGAGCGGGATGCGTTGCAATTATTGTGTCACGATTTTTCGCTCTAAAGCTCAAGACGAATGAGTGGATAGGTGCAAAAACACACACATCAAAAGCTCACCGTGGTACGAAAAAGCTCAACTTTTTTCTGAACGAGCCAACTTCTGAGAAAGATGTTTAACAATGCTCTGTATTGGAACGTAAGGAATTTTAATAATAAATTATTCATTTTAATTTTGGGAGAATAATATTCAAGGTATTATACAAAAATTGCCTTCTCTTGTTTTAAGATAAATTGTTTGAAACATTCTTTTAGGCGTAGATTAAATTAAAGGAAATTATTAATGTTTGTAAAAAGTCTTGATGTGGTGCATTAATAAAATTGAATCCTGTTGCGTATTTTGCTCATGTCCATCGCTCTGAATCTACGATTCCCTCCTAGAAACTATCACACCTCTTGAGGATGGATTTTTCTGGAAATGTCTCAACGTGTCCTCAATTGAGAACTTTCCTCTAGGATCATATAATAGGTTTTATGCAGGCTTCCAGGCAATGAATAATTCAATTTTATACGGAGGAAGAAATTACCCATCTGAACAGGCAGTTAACTTCGCCAAAAAAAGAAAATCTGAGGAAGCATTTTACTGTCATTCTTTGCTTCTGCATTCTATTCTTTTCGTAAGGGAAGCCCTACCAGGAAGAACTTAAGCACACCCCCTCCTTTCCTTTGCAACCAGGTTCAGAGCCCATTTCTTTCAATAAAGGAGAGCAGCTTCACTCTCCCCGGTGCCAGATAGCTATTGCCAAGGACCTGATGTCTGTTTCTGATCAAGGCGTCACAGTGGCAGACCACATGCAGTGCAATATTAAATAACAAAAGTCTTCTAACTGAGAGAAATATTATGTAAATTATGAATTTTCAACTGATGTTTCGTTACGGTGTTTAAATTTTCTCATTTAATTGGATTGTTGAAGTTAGTAATTGAGAACGTGGCCACGCATCATTTCGTAAAATTTATTTGTTTGAAAGCAGTAGTGAGTGTAGAGTGTAACGCTATTTTCTTACCGATTGAAATTTCTAATTCAAATACTGTTCGATTTGTACTCTTATTTAGTATTCTTATTTTTGTTTAAAATTCTTACGCCATGTAGGTATCTAGTTTTATATAATTTGTTATTACCTTAGTATAACTTTAGTCTTTAGTTTGCCGATAGAGGCCATACTAGTCTTATAGATTTCTTTTACATAGTTCTTTGTCTTGTTGCTAGAGTTCACGCTTTGTATCTTTCTGAATTCTATCCCTTCTTTAAGTTTATCTTATCGCAGTTGTATTTTTTCCCTCAGTGAAGTTTCTGCTTTCGCATTGCTTACATTCAAATTTTTCTTCAGTATGCCATTACTTTTACTGACTTGTCATACCGTAAGGGATTTATTATTTTGACCATTCTGTTACCATTTATTTTATAAAGTCATTCGAATTATTGATTCTTTATGAGTATTAATATCCGATTGCCTCCGTGTCAGACGTTAGCATTGCTTACGCAACATTTTGTGTGCCGCGCGATTCACTACCCCTTAGTCTGCCTTGTTTCCCTCTTTTTGGTGAGTATTCTCTCCTCTTTTTTGAAAGTTACTAAAGACTAATATCCTGTTTACCACCACATTTCCCTTTTTGTTTCGTTTTCGTAGTGTAAAAAAACTCCGATATTCACCCCGACCCACCTCTGCGTTGCCTGAGTTTATCGTGTGCTTATCTCAAGGTAATTTTTTTTACTTTTGCCCAAAATGAACGTGAGGGGAGGAAGGTTGAAATCCTCGATTGATCAAAATTTCATTGTAACCATATTTTGATTTTGTGTAATTATTCGCCATCAAAGTGTTCGAAGGTGGAAGAAAGTATTTTTTTAATTTTTAAGAAAAAAACTATGGGAATTAGAACAAGGTAAATTAGTAAAGAACGGTTAAGAAAGCAGTAAAATTTCCCAGTAAAGTCAGTTTAAATGAACCCGTTAAGGGTGCCAAAACCCCTTATTGTAACCCCAGTTACAATTCTGGTCCTGGTGTTAAGAAATGTGAATACCTTCGAAATGATTTGACCTTTGATTAATACAAACAACCCGTACTTCCTTGGGGTTGCCGCAGCGGTATCCAAAACAGAACTCTGCTCAAAAAACTCTCTTATTCTAAACACGCCTCGTTATCGTCATTAAACTTACCCGCGCTCATTATTCATATAAAGCGGTACATATGCCATTTTACAAATTCGTAGTATAACCCAAAACTTTTCTCAAAAGAAAACTGACAAGGATAATTCTAACCTTTCCTACATAAAATATAAATCCTAACGGAAATGTGCCGTAACAACCCGAAAACAATGAAAGTTGTTGGTTTCTTAGAAGATTAAATTTATCCAGCGACCTTAGCGTTCAAGTTAAAGGGTCACAATGGACTAATTCAGAAGATACAGTAAGTAATGACGTACGTAGATAATCAATAAGAACACCAAATGTACATGGGTATGAGAAACTTCGTATTGTACCTAATGAACATGAAAATAAGTTTTAAACTGGTACAACAGAATTGTTTTACGTAGTCTACAAGGTTTCCAAAAGATGTTGAGAAATGTCTCCCTGGAGCCAGAGGAGTGATTTCCTAATTGAAAGGAAAATCATCATTCAGCTTGTCAGAGAAACGCAATTTGGATTTTATCTAATGCTCAAAAAATTAAAAGGGAAACAGCGAACTAATTACTTTCTCTGTTCTTTCATAAAATATTTGGTTGTGGTTAGACGAATGAGATCTGTGTGTGGGTGAAATTACGCGTAACGCTTTTAGCCTAAAGTTTAAAGCCTTGTTAAACGTTAATTTAAACCTTGTTTATCAACTTAACCATTTTCGCGAGGGTCGTAAAATAGTAACTTTGCCTTCATATTAAATTGCTCTTAGCTTACCTGCAGGTAGCGTAATTAGTATGCTCAGCGTGTACGTTATACATGGCACATTATGGTGGCGAATAGGTCCCGCAAAGACATCAGTCATCTGTCTAATGTTTCCAAGCTTCCAAGGGTAGAAGATGAATGTTGCTTAATACCACCTCTATGCACAATGTATTAGTTTATGTCGCTCAAGAAAGTTTGCAACTTAAATGAATTAAAACTTGGGCATAAGGCGCCCATTTCATTTATGTATGAAGTATTTTACCTCAATAACTTTAGAGTTTATTAAGGATAACTGATACAAACTCGAAAGGTAAACACGTCAAACTTCATAATTTTTTGTCTCTTATACAAATTCTAAGAAAATATGTATTGATTTTTTGTGCTTACAAAAGCCGCCAATATTATTTAAGTGCAGGCATTCCTAGAGAGTTTCAATGAAGTGACAAGTGCAGATCACTCCAGTAAAAAACAAAGTGGGATATGGAGGTATTGTAACTGAGAATGTAATTTGTGCGTTCTTTCATTAAGGCGAAGACAAGAAAATAAAATCGATACGCGGGACACGGAAAAAAGGGACAATAGAAAAGAATTTTCCTCTTTTGTGGAAAGTAAGATGTAGTACCATAATTGAAATGTTGAATGTAGGGGTACTAAGTAATGGACACCCAAATTCCTTTTATTTACAAGTTATCCCCAAGGGAAAAACCGCTAGTGAAGATAGTGGATAATTAGAAGAAAGTATATGGCTGTTTTCTACGTTCTACGTTTAAAAGTGTTAAATAAACAAATAACAGATTGTTCTACAAGTCAGGAAAAGTGACAGTTTTCCAATTAGCGCCAGCGAGTAAATATATGCAATTTTCAAGAGCTGGAAAATTATTTTTCTTGCGTGTACCGTGTAGAACATCTTTACATGTAAAAAAAGGCACATCTAACTTTTATAATCAAGTATGTGCTCTGAGTATTGGGCGCTGGCATAGTAATACAGTACGTCCCTGTAATGGAGTCCACTAAAAATTCTCAAAATATGTTTTCAAGAGCAAGGAATCAATTAAAATGGTTTACGAAGTTGCCTGAATGCTATTTATTAAAGAAAAATAGTACTAAAGATTTCACAGGACTCCTCTTTATAAGGCTTAATTCACAATATAAAAACTGGCATACATTACGTTATTATTTATACTGATGGATCTTAAAAACTGGAATGTTCATTTCATAAAGTTTTGTATATGGGCATGAAGTTACCAGTTTCGTTCCAGCAGAAAAGACAGCGGTGTCGCATCAAGTGATGATTGTAACCTACTCGACCGCAATCGGTAGATTATGGAAATGTCGCGGATATTGTCGATACGGTACAGTAACCACAACTTATCATAATCCGCCATATTGGGGCTAAAAAATTGTTTGGATCAATATACATTGTCACATCAAATTGTGATCGTA